GTTAATGTAAAATATTTATTAAACATTTTTTATGATTCCCAGGATGAACAACTAGAAGCTGAAATCGAGAAGAAATTAGCAGGTAATAATTGATAGTCCTCATCATAATAATATCATCATCATGGGGTTGGAATTAGAGAATGCTCTGGTGAATGAGTAGGATTCTCTGGCTTAAACTACCATTTATTTAACAATTACTCGCTGAAGGCGAAGTGAATATCGGGGAATATTTACAGAGACGAGAGCAAATAATTGTTTTAGTATAAATACACAGGTAATTCTTTCAAAAAAAGAAAATTTAGAAGATAAAAGACAATTTTTCCCCAGAAAAGCAACAAAGCAACTGGCCGCAATTTTGGATTATCACTGGAGGTGATTATGGTGTGATAGTGTGAGTTTCTCGACCAATCAGTGCGCCAGATTTTCAATAATCACCTGTGTATTTTTTACTAAAGCTTAGTAATTTGTAAAATGTTCACATAGTCTCCCAGGCTAGTTCATGACCTTCTACTATCATTTTAAAACTGAATGAAACCCATGTTCATCATTAGTGTTAGAGCATGGAAAATGCTGTTTTATTACATAGTTGCTAATCTTATTTTGGTATTGAATTTATTTACACAAAAATAAAAGCAGTTGCCCGCGTAGATGGCGTCAGTACTGTGCTCCATTCACTAATAAAGCACAATTCTTGACCAATAACTGTCCACGTACTATCCTAACTATATAATAAATACTTATATATGGGTTTTTTTCTTAGCTGTTATTGAAAAGGAAAGTGGATTTGATTTATCAGAGATGACGGTAGGGTATGCCATATCATGCCTGTCTTCTGAAGAAATAGAAGGTTTGCCACCAGGAGGTGGACTTGAGTCCAAGTAAGTACCATAACACAACATATTTACTATTTAATTGGTTCCAGAAATAATTGTCCTACATGAGAAAAATTTTCAAGGCTTATATTCCAAGTTCCTTGAATCTACCATTACATAAATATATAGAGGATATTAGATGGCTGCACAGAGATTCACATTTTATCTTCAAGTGTTGAGGTGATATCTCATGAGTAAGCACAACGAAGGAGTATTATATTCTCAACATAAGAAGGTAAAATTGGTATCTCCAAGCAGCCATGTAATATTCTAGCCTTTTTAATATATTTTTTATGGGTCTTATAGTTTTCCTCCCTCTATGAAAATCAACAATGTCCATAATTGGCATCCTCCATTTTCAAAACTTGTCTGTTATTAATTTGTTTCATTTGAATTCATTCTTATTCTAAATAATACATATAATTGGTTAACTTTGTCTAAATTGTGTCAGTTACGATTAATATCATCAATCATAATCATTAACATGACCTGTTACAATCTTGAAAGCCTCAGTGGCCGAGCAGTTGAGATGTCGTCTAGCAAACGAGAGGTCAGTGGTTCGAGTCCTACGAGAACCCAACTGAGGCAGATTTTTTAATCTTCTTATACACTCGATGTAGCATACACTTAACATATAGATCTTTACCGAGTGACAAAAACACATTTCATATATTACAATCTTGTTAATAGTCACCATGTTTCATCATTCTCAGATCAAATGTTATTGAAAGATGTCTTGATAAACTTATTGATGAGAAGAGCAAAGAAAAGGACTTAAACCAGAAGGTAAGTGGCTTTCAGTTTACAGCCTAACAACTAGTTATTTCCAGAGTCTATCTTTCTTTCTTATTTTTGTATTGTTTATCAGATCACGTTTAACTGCCACCCAGTTGGCTCAGGTGTTTGAGCTTCAGACTTTCATGCAGGAGGTTGTGGTTTGAGACCCTGCTGGACCAACACTCAGGGTCTTAAAATAACTGAGGACAAGGTGCTGCCTTTGTAATAACAACTACAAATGGTTAGACCTTTACATGGCTTGGATGRCCACATAAAAGAACCAATGTTGACGTAAACAAACCTTGGCCATGACCACCCTCAGTGTCTGGCCTTAAATATTTTTTTTGTGTGCTGAGTATTGTGTGGGTATGGGATTTTATGGGGTTCAAAATTGGTTCAATGTACCTTGAAGGGGACCCTGTGTCCTATTGTGCAGCACCAGCCTGTCGGCAATGTAACAAGAGATTTAATTCATCAAATTTTCTTTCATTTCAGAACTCGAGTAAGGAAGAGGATGAAACGTGAACATGAGAAAGTATCTCTTTGGTGTAACTAAGATAAGTGATAACGACAGAGATATACTCAACCTGTCTTGAAAAAAAAAATACACCGTTGATTGAGGACGACTAAAAAGTGACTAGCCTTTCTAGTTTTCTGTAAATTTGATATAACACAGTGATTAGCTTGCATTTATACTATGAAATCAGCTCAAATAAATGTGTGATTCAACTTCATCCTAGTAGCTGCCTGTAAATCTGCTATAACTATTGATTCTGCATGTTGGTATAGAACAGATTTTGAATGAATATATAAAAACATGAGGTATATCACACCACAAAATTAATGTGATGTTAGTGAAATTACAGCACTCCAGCAATATCACTCACACTATTCGATGGCTTTAACAGATATTTTAAATTCCATTTTGCAGCCATAATATAGGTATGCCATGTTTTTCTTAATCATTTGAAAACTATCCTTTGTTTACTAGTGTTAGAGTGTTAATAGTGGAAATCTTTTTGGAAATCTTGTCACCATGAGAATAAGTTACTCGTTGTGTACATACTGTAGAACAACTTCTTGTCATTGTTTATTGGCAATGTAAAGCAATAAGTTTGCAAATGACATACCTGTAGTTTTAGACAATTTATGTACATTTCCACAACTGATCTAGAAAATACTCAATTTCATTATACCAATACTTTGTGTGTGAACTTTCAATCAATTATATAACTTCAACATACTACACAGTAACCAAGATTTGAGGATCAAATCTACTGGGGGAACATGCTGGGTGCCTTGCCTTTGACAAGCTGCAGTTTTCTAAAATATGTGAGACTTATTTGTTTCTGTGTTGGAAGGTCAGTTGATTGCAGTTTATAAGAGGTGTGGGTTGTGATGCATAAGATCACACCAACACAGGTTCTTGTAACAAAGACGAGTATGTTTTATGTTTGTTTTGGCAATAAAAGTAGTGTTTAGCAGGAAAGAGTACTTTTTTGGTGCATGATTTAAATTTTCAGTACCACTTTTGATCTTGTGCCAGACTACTATTAATAGTATAGTGTACACCAAATATGACATTGTTGACTTGTGAAGGGATGTCTTGTGCTATTGTTAGACATTGTATAATATTACTTATATTACTTACTTAAAATTACTACTTATATTACTAATATTGCCAGACTGTCTATCCTTTTTAATATCTCACTGAAGAATGAATGACTCCTTCTGATAAGTTTTCATGTCTAATCCTTAAAATTACCATTATTTTATTCCTCTTGGATTATTAATGTTGTAGAATCCAAACTGCAAAATCCTGTACATTAACACTAAGGTCATCTTTCTAAAACTCAGAAGTAGTACTTCTCTTACATGCAACTTTGAGATGAATTCAAAATTTTTGCTATTGCTGAGCTGAGTCCAAAACATTTTGCTCCATGAACTTGTAGCCAAGTATTTTTTGAGTTTTGGAATGCTGGATGAGGGTGTGAAGTAGAATACCTGGTATTTAAGTACTTTATTCAAACACATGTCACGTAAAGAATGAAAGATAGCATGGTTTTGATATTTTTGTGTTGAACTTTTCTTGTATCTTTAAATCAAGGCCTAGGCAAGCAGTCAATACCTGGGGGGGGAGGGTATGGGGGTGGAATAGAAGTGTATATGGGAGGGGGTGGGTTGCTGTTCATATGCTTTGACTAATTTATTGACTTATGAACAATCAAATTTGATTTTGGATAGATTGTTCTGTAGAAGCAAAAATTATCATGACTATTGGTTCTCAGCAGTGATGTAACAGACGCTTGTGAAACTAAACTGAACACTCCATGATAGTGTTGTGAGCTGGTTCTGATGATGATGATGGTCTTGGCATATCTGATGGTAATGATGACAGTAGTGGTTGACGATAATGATGATGATGGTGGTGAATATCAATGATGATGATTATCATGAGGAATCCCAGGATGTCGGTTGCTGCTGATGAGCATGATGATGATGATGATGATGGTCTTGGCATATCTGATGGTAATGATGACAGTAGTGGTTGACGATGATGATGATGATGGTGGTGAATATCAGTGAATGATGATGATTATCATGAGGAATCCCAGGATGTCAGTTGCTGCTGCTGATGATAGTGATGGTAATAATACCAAAGTCAATGCTATTGGTGATGCAAAGATTAATGATTATGATGGTGATGTATGTCACTATCTTGGTCAAATCTGTTGCGCTAGGCAACATACAAACTCCCTAATAGAATGTTTAGTTTTAACAGTTGTTATAATCATTTAATTACATATTCTTTTAGTTTGTTATTGGTTTCTATTAATAAAAGAGTTCTAATATTCCACAAGCTAGATGTTAAACTTGTGATATTTATTTATAGTATAAGGTCAGCAACTGGTGTTTAATCTAAATGTGCTTTTCCACCTTTCTTGAGATATCTTGAAGTTCCATTTCATTCGTTAATCTAATAACATTTTCTTGATCTAAAAAACCTTCACAGTTTGAATACCAACTTCATGTTTCTTTGCAGCGTGACGTCACACGTAAAACCACTGCACAGATACACTTATTTCAATAAAGTTAGTCACCAGAAAAGCTACACAGCTGAGACCAATAAGGATTATGGGTAGTTACATTTTACATGTTTCAACCGCTTTAATAACGGTTGATGGATTTTAGATCTTTTACCAGTTACAGTCTCACCTCCTCTGAGCATCCTCAACTGCTGCAGTTCGTGTCAAAAGCTTTACTTGTTTGGATATAAAATATTTTGCCATTCTCAGCGATTACAGCTTTCTAGGTTTTTGATGTCTAACTTTACTGAAATAAGTATATGATAGTAATAGAGTGAAGTCATTTAAACCCTTGCAATAGGTGAGCGTACTGTTTACATTCCCAAAAATCAACTTTTGAGCCATAAACGATTGGACTTAAGAAATATAAAGAAGTCATAACTGTTGATAATATTTATCAATTTGAGAGCAGTTGCTTTATTAGTTCAGGAGATATAATAAGTTAAAGTTGCTAAATTTTGCAGTAAATGTAGGTTGGTTGGTAACATCTTGCCAACCAACATACATTTACTGTCAAACTTTACAACGTTAATTTAAAAACCATCAAGAGATTTGTCCTCAAAGTCTCAGATATCTTCCAAAGCGATAGGATCCTGCCACTTTTGACGTTTGTTTGTTTATTGCTTGAATTTCCAAGAATTTCATGTCCTTGATCAAAACAAATGACGTCATCGTACGTCCACCTATAGATATTAGACTATATACGCTTTAGTAGACCCCAATTCCATTATTTTCTTTCGTGACTATATGACTATTACACGTTCACTAACATTTGTTATGTCATGGGTGAAATGCCTTCACTCTACACCCACTCCATCCCCACGAACAGTATACGATGCTAAGGGCAACGCAAGAAATTGAAGGTGGTTTACTAGGTGAAATACTAAATGTATTACAAATATTTGACGTTATTGATTTATTTTCGACCGTTTTTTTGTCATCTTGTGTCATTATTGTTTTATTATTATTTTCCTTCCACCCGAATTAGCGTTATTATTTCGCTTGGTCTTTAAAGCCCCGTTTACACTGGCGATTTTTGCTGCAATTTTTGTGGCAATTTTCGGAAATATGAAATCTTTTGTCTCATCCTTCAAAAGAGACATTCGTCTAGGAAAATCTTGGTATCCTGAAAAAAACTTTACAAGTAAATTCTTTACCATTATTTATAATGGACAAAATCGCCGCAAAAATCTCTAGTGTAAACGGGGCTTAAGGCGCGATTACAAGGAGCAATTTTCTCTGTCACTCGTCTCGTAGCAGCGTTGTCACACAAGTTCTAGGAGCATTACAGTGTGTAACCTACAGCGCAATTTAAAAATAACTTTGCGAGACAAGTTGTAGCAATTGTTTGCGTCACCGTTGCACCGTGTAAAAACTCTGGCAACCTGTGTCGCAACGCTATTGCGAGGAGACAAGTTGCAGAGAAAATTGCTCCGTGTGATCGCGCCTTTGGAGTGATTTTCATGAACCCGTGAAGTAGATATTATTAGTTAGTGTGTAATAGTGAAATGACAACAAAAGAACACGATGGAATTAGGGTCTACTAATTTGTATTGGGCTGGTGTGTATTTCACGGGCGTATGAAAAGCACTGTAACATATTTCAAAAAATTAATAGTACTTTTAAATCTGATTTATTCAAACTTTAACGAAAACGTTAGAACTTAAATCTGAGTGACTTGAACTTGAACAAGTAACGACACGTTTCTGTCAGACACTTCTTAAATACCATGCGAATGTATTGATAGTCATGGAGGAGCAGAGGGAGCCCATATCTGTCTTGTGAAAGGTGGATGGACAAGTGTTCTCCTGGTTTTATGGGTACTGAAACTGCTTGCTTTCCTGAATTTTTCCACGTTCTGAATTTGTTCCTGATCAGTTGCACGAACTTGTCTCTACTTAAAGAAAGAATGTCACTTGTGCTTTCGCCAACGATAGAACGTTTAAGTGAAAAGAGAATGTACTTAGTCCTCAGAAGAACGTTACATCAACCGCTACTGGATACCACTAACCCTGTTATTTACATAATAACGAGTACAAATCATATACAGCAGTGACACTGCTTATACCTACTTGTCTTGTCCACCATAAATGGAAAGAGAAGTGAGGTTTTTGCAGAGGAAAATAGGGATTTTCTTTTTTTTAATTACTAATGCAATATTCTTTCTTTTCCATCGTTTAATTTCCCAGTTTAGTGGTAATTAATAAAAACGTTTTATTTTATAGGTTTATTGTTTACACTCTAGTCGTATGTGGGTGGACAAATGCAACAGTTAACTGTCTTTCCATCGGCTCACTCGTACTAGAAGGTTCCTTCTTATTGAGTACAGGAGAATGCAATTAGTGATAGTTAGCCAGAGGAAACAATTATAAAAACCCTTTAAAGAATATCGATCTCGCCATGTAAACGATAAGAAGACTACACTATATACGTGCTTTCCTGTATCTTAGTCTAATCACTATAAATCAATTGATTTTTTAAAAACACAAACAATCTGAGGGACGTGATAGGCTTCCCACTGGTACCGCCGAATCTACTCAAGGTCATGAAAGAACGACTCAAATCTAACTCAAAACTCCCGCGTTGGATGTGCTATTTCCCATTCCCAGCCATCTTAATCCCATTTCCAATGCATCAAATTCCATTTCTCTTTTACTCTGAGTTGAAAGTTCATTTTTTTTTAATAACATGAAGAGGTCTCGAACCACCGATCCTTCTTGAAAGCAGACGCATTAATACCACACCACCACTGCACCGAGTATTACCAGTGTTCGATCACTATAAATGCTCGCATGGAACCGGTCACGGCACAGCATGTGTTATAACCGTGAGTTTTTCACATGGTTAATCATCTGTCAAGTACTCGGCCCCATGATATCATGAAAAATTAACTGGAGCTTTCCTGTACGAAGACRTTGAAGTGTCTTGTCTGAGTCTGTTTTGCCACAACTGATTTAGTTATAGGGAAAAATCAATTGAAATCAAATTTGAATATCACAAATAATGTTTTCAAAAGGTGTTAAATACATAATCGAACCTCGAACTTTTTACCCACAAAAATACAAGCTTGTTGATTATTCATTAATTTTCCAAAAAATTAAAAAAGTCCCAAACTGGAAAAAAAGCTGCCCCCCCCCCCCCCCTAGATTAATGCCATTTATTATCAACCGCACTTGTAACGCAATCAAAACCAATAAAAGCGCGCCATCTTCATCCATAACTAGAGCGAATTTAACTTTTATCTTAAAACCGATATATTTTGGTTTCAGTCGTACAGTAAAGGCCTGTGTAAACGGTACGATTTCCGCCTACAACTATCGTAGTGCAGTTTTCGTATGACTCAGTGAAAAGCTCAGTGCCGTAAGCGTGAGGTGCCGTGACCGTGATGCTTTCTAGAATTTTAATTGGCTGATTTTTTTCACGCGCAATGTGATTGGTCTGACATTGCCGTGACCTTGGCGTCGCCGTGTCCGCGCCGTGTTTATGCCGTGTTCCGGGTATTTGATTGTATGGAGAATGGAGAGTAAAAGTTAGTGCTAGATTGGAATTTTACACGTTTTCCCGTGTGCTTTTTTCGCCTTTTGTTTCAAACTAAACATGCGCATAATTTAGACTAAGTTAAGTTCACTCAAGCTTAGTTAGTAAATTTTCAGTTCAACGTCGACCGTCTTCAGTTACACATCGTTTTGTAAGTATTTTTTCCTATTTCTTTTGCTTTCCGTTTGCTTCAATCGTTTTCTGCCTTACCGTTAAATTGTAATCTGTCCTTTATTAGGAACTCTCTCTATCTAACGCAATCAAATAAACGAAAGAAGAGTAAGACGAGTGTTTTTTTTTACCGCTAAACCGCACCAATAGTAAATTCTCGTGCAATGTGTTTGGTCTGGCGTATCCCTTGCCGTGTCATGACCGTGTTCGTGCCGTGAATTTTTCACAGTCATACGAAAACTGCACTATACAACACACTCGCGCCACCCTACAACTCGAGTCGTAGCGTGTAAATCAAGCCTACAACTCGCCTACGACAGACGCGAGCGTGTTGTATACAATAGTTGTAGGCGAAAATCGTACCGTCTAAACCGGCCTTAAGGCTTCATTTAACTTTGTCGAGTATCCTCAACTGCGCATGCGCATGAGGTTTGTTCTGATTGGCTCATGCAGTAGCGCACAACCAATACATAGTGCAGACGTCATTCCACTCAACATCGTTGACTTATATAACTGATTGTCCAATTCTCGAAGTCTATATTCTGCTAATAACAATATTATAATCCGAAAATAACAAGGCAGTTCTGCCTCAAGCTAACAATATACTTGTATATTCTAGATATGGCTTTATCTCCAATTCTTCCATTACTTGTTGTATTGTTTGGTGTTGTTAGATGTGCAGTATACGACGATGTAGCCACAGTAACCAAAGCCCGTTGTTATGCTAACTGTATAACTCAGGTAAGAGATTTCTGCTATTTCACCTACGAAAATGATTTCAAAAAGGGGACCGCAAGATTTCGAATGCTCGTGAATTCTAAATGATATTTTTAAGCGAATTGAGGCTTTTCGAGCGCATTCGTTCATTAGAACTGTAATTATTTATCAATATTTTTTGTAGAAGTTGTTTTTGTTCAGTTTTCTATTTCGACGCCATAGTAATCAAAAACTCATACAAATTAGCACTATCGAATAGTCCGAAGACAAATACCTTATAAGTTTTCATACCTATCCTAGTAATAGTAATCTAGAGAAATTTTCCTATAATATCTTTGTTGATAAGTTAAAGTTGATTTCAACTTACTAATTTTAATTTTAAATTTAAAACAATAAAATGTTATTGTAAACCATTTAAATGTCAATTCCTGCTCAAAGATTATCTCATTATCGTCAATAATTTTTAATTATTATTATTATTTATTATTTATTATTTTCTCAGAGTTTGTTACATTTAGAACATGAAATCTATCGTTTTGGGTTTCTGATTTAACATCTTCAACAGCAGTCATTTTATTGATTTATGGCAATTAGGTATAATCAATATCTCTATGAACGTCTAAATAACCTTGTTTTTCAAAATTTTCGATCAATTTAGAAATGATATTCTGTTTACAACCTTTGTCACATTTTTGCTCAATAATAATCTTAATAATCTTTTGTGTTCTTTTCGTCTCAGTTTACTTTACTATGGAATTCACTACCACTACACATTAGAAATTCTACTAATCTCTCCAATTTCAAATCTGAACTGAAAACCTAGTCGTTCAATTTAGCTTTTAATTCGTAGTGGGTATTTTTATACATGCTTGTGATTATTCTTCCTACCAACCATTAGAACAGACCTGAATAAGCGCTCAACCAAATGCACTATTATTATTATTATTATTATTATTATTATTATTAATGTATTAATTTATAAATAATGAAATAACTTTAATTACTAATATATATCAAATCCTATTCTTCGTAATAATAATGTCAGTAACCAGATCTATAATTTAGAATAATATTAAGAATGAAAAAAAGAGCTTTGATAACATCCTACAATAATAATATATCTATTAAGAGAGAATTCTTTTCGTATTCAAGCAGTGAGCGTCAAANATAATATTTATTATTATTATCATTATTACTATTATTATTATTATCATTATTATTATTATTATCATATTACCATCATCATTATTATTATTACTTTTTTTACCTTTTTTGTATACGTTGAGTGTTGATTTATATTCCCTTTTTTATCTTCTTTTCTCGTCAAAACCACTTCTCATTATTAGAATATGTTCAAATAAATTTGAATACATAAAGCTTTCGTCAAATATTGTTTTTTAATAAAGAAAGAACACAAAACCAAAGAAAACGAAAGTGAATTTAATGTGGCTAAAAAAATAGCACTAAAACGTAATGCAGTCGCAAATTGTATTGATCCCGTTTGACCAATGCCGGAATGACTAGTAACAGATCTATAGGTTAGTAGGTTGTATACTGTTTAGAAGAAAGTCTCTTGAGGATTTTGAGAACCTAGGAAAAAATCTAACACTCTTTGTCTTGATCTGATCCTTCCTTCCTTCCTTCCCATCATCTATCTCATCCCATCATCAATTCCTTCCGTGATTTGGCGTAGAAAAATATAATAAATATTAACCAAAAAAATAAATATTAAACCTGTACATGTCATTATTTATTTGGTTAACAATTCACAAATGACATTATATCTACGTTATTCTAATTGTACACGCAAATATCTACATTAAAATGATAATATTATAATAAATTTCTCGTATCCTAAGCACGACATGGTTGACATTGGTATTTGGATGTCATGACCGTTTGTTTGACTAGTGAAATTAAGCTAGTGTGATTATATTGCGGCTAAGAGGCTAATAACTGAAAATGACTGACGGGTTTGTTCAGAACAGTTTATCCACAATAGATTACTTCCCGCGTCGTTATGACGTGTGCAATGACATTTCTATAAATTTCGATTTTTTGAGTCCACTGAGGGATTGGAACATGCAACAGAAAGAACTTTGTTCCATGCTAAGCATAAATCTATTTATTGTGGTTAGGCTTGACTATTGAATGCTAGTCCTCGTCTTATCTTTTCAACTTTTTCCTTGCTCTCCTTTTCCCCTTCCTTCCTTCCTTCCTTCCTTCCTTCCTTCCTTTAACATTTCAATCATATACCTTACATTTCCAAAAAAAGGTTGTCGGAGCTATCCAAAGCTTAGTTAAGGAATATATATGCGATAAGCTATAGGAGATAGTAGGTCATTCCAAGATCTAAGAATAGCTGGAATGACTTGTATTTTCTTATCTTTATTCTCATCAAGAAACACAGAGGATAATGTTGAGGTATCTAGTGTTGTTTGTGGTCGACGAAACCGTGTTTAATTGTGTGCCCATATTTTTTCTGTCTTGGAAAGACCTATATATCGCCTACCGTTTGGTCCCGACCATCTTTTCAAAATAGTTKTACAAACTTGATATTTTTTCAACACCAGTCATAACAGCAATCTCTCGTACCCGGCCAGAGCCTGCGTTTCTTTCTTCGCCGCAGGCCAGAAAAAACGCAGGCTCTGGATACCAGATTGCCATAACAGCATTAACAAGGCGCACTCGCATTAGTACACACATCCCTGGTCATCTTGCTGACGTCATCACATTGCATAAATATCTTCACACAGGTATCCAAGTACGCTGAACCTGATCCTGGTTGTCTTGGAAACGCCTGCAAACAGGTAAGAGTCCATGTTCCAGTGGGCCATTTCTATGTTAGCTCATAGACACCTTCTCTGAACATGTCCTTTTTTTCTGCAGTGCCTGTTACCGTGTGATAGAAAGTGGACAAATATTGAAGATTGCAAAGAAACTTGCGTAAGTACATTGGACATGTGGCAGTATGGGTATGTCACGTGGGCGTTGATGTAATAACCAGGTCCCTTAATGATAGGAGCCTGGGCACGACCTGGCACCCATGATACAAGAAACTACTACATTTCTAAAAGAGACCGCTGCAAGTATTTTATTGTTCCCGATGACCATTATAGGCAATAGAATGAGTAACTTCACACATTATTCTTTTGCAGGAAATATCAAAAATTTGTCGGAGGAGTTGTGAATTTCTTGGATACTTGAAAGGTTTGCCAAATATTTTGGATGGAGATCTCACTCTCACCAAGCATCCAGGCGTCCCCATGGCAACGGAAAAAACTGTCCAGAATCTGACGTTGTCATGGACACCTGCCACGAGTTATGTGGGAAGTGTTGTTTATCTGTTGAAGAAAATGTTTCAAGGGGATTTCAGCGATTTAAATCTTAAGGATTTAAAAGATGTAAGTTTTGTATTATTAGAGAGTTTTAGATTTACGTTCACCTCAAACGTGAAACGTCAGTTGATCAGTGAAAAATTCTATTAAATTACTGAAAAAGAGTCGCAAAAAAACAAATTGTTGAGAACAAAAAACAATTGTTACGTTGTGGTGAGAAAGTTTGCAATAACTGAAATAAAATACAGGAATACGATGAATACGTAGCCACTTTTTCCAATTCTCCATTCATTGTACAAGTTTCACGAGGACACGAAGGAGATCCTAACATATTTTATGTATTCTTTTCTCTGTTCGTCGATCAGGTTGTTTTCACACAGCCAAGAGCAGTGTTAGACGTAACAGATGTGTGTCGATATGCCCCGCGATATAGATGGAAATTTGACGGAGTCCAATTCAAATTCCAAGTCATAGCACTCACTGAATACAGTAAACTCATCGGTAGCGCCAAGTCCAATAGCATAGGTAAATATCACAGTAAGCCCGCACTTTTCAATACGAGCAAGGAACTGCATATTTCTTTCTGTCAAAATAAACCCCTTCACAGGAATGAGCGCATTGAATCAGCAAATTGGAGAATAATTTAAAACTAATTTCTAATAGGAACAGAAACGATGCATTGGTCTTGTTTTTAGAGCCTGTAGTTTTGCTGCTCAGCAGCAGGGTCACGCATGCGCTGAGTCGGTGCAAGAGTGTTAACCAATCAGATTGTCAATCTTGTTTTTGTTATAATCGTTAATATTTTTCTTTTACCGGATCAGAAATGACCAGACCTGAGCCGGTCTCAGCCGTTGGGACACCAAGTTTTACTTATGATGCGGATGCTTTTGGAGATAAATTGAAGATGACTACCACAGTAATTCCTTTGCAAGGTAATATTATAGTGGCACCTGGCTGATTATTCAAATTGGCATTATTCTGACTATCAAATAGTATTGAATTATGATAATACTTGTGTTTATATTCAGTTTAAAAACATTTTTATAGAGAAACAAAAATCAATGACAAGAGTACAATTTAGAATAAAATTCAACGTCTTTTGACGTTAAAATACATGAAGGAAATGGGATGTGAAATGGGATGTGAAATGAAACAAATGGAAGAAGCACTTTCCATGGCTTTCAGCAATGTTTTGTCAAACACCCAGTATATTAAATGTGGAGTCCCTCACTGCTCTATTATTGGCCCACTCCTTTCTCTAATACATATTAATTTGCCTCATCATCATTAAAATACTTTGTGTTTCACATTCATTTTTATTGTTTGTTTTTTTCTTTTTTTTCTTTTTTTTCTTTTTTTTCTTTTTTTTTTTTGATTGAACATTTTGCTATTCCCAACCGTAACAGCTCAAGTCCACCTTATTTCTCAATACGCTGTTGATTGGTCGATGGCTTTTTGTTCGAAAGAGCCTTTCGTAGTGCCAAGATCATCTACTTCTGAAAAGGTAAGCCTGAAGGAGGGAAATTCCCTCATGCCCATTCATCAATGTGCTATTTTATTGCTGGTTTTCATAGCCGACATCTTGGATGTACTTAGCAAGAAATTTGTCATAAATCTCTTTCGTTATATTAACCAACATGGCCGCCATTTCTTTTGTTATATCCATCAACATGGCTGCCATCTCTTTTGTTATATCGACCAACATGGTCGTCATCTCTTTTGTTATTTTATTCACTTGAAATTTAACACACAAGAATTGTCCCTGCATGAAATCTATGATTCTGGACCTTTATCTGATCAAAGTCTTTCTTACAGGCTAACACAACTGTTTCAGTTCAACTTTATGAAAAACTCAAGGCATGTAATCACACCCTAAAGGTAAATAAAGACAATGTGGCATTCATACCTCGCCATGAAATAATAACACATGCAAAAGATAGCCTCAAGTTTCATTTATTACTATTCCACGATAAAAACATTCATTCTATGCTAGTACATGTTGTCAATAAATCTACCTCAAAACCCCGCACACGCACTTTTCCTTGATGTTGTCTCGCTGACGTTGTTGTAGGTGTATTCATTAAACCAGTGTATACCCAGCAAACCAAAAATCTTAACCTACAAATATAAAGGTACCAGTACACGTCTACGGTTATAGACTTATTTACCTTGGGCGTAATGTTTTTCCCATTACGAACCACATGTCATTTCCTTGAGTAGCATTTGATTTGTTTGACGGTTGCGCATGAGAAGACACATGAATATGGCTACAACTCAAACAAAGAATCTTATACACAAAAGTTGACACGTGGTATGAAATTGGGAAAAATTAGGTCCAAGATAAATAATCTATTGCCCTACAAAGTTGTTGCTTCTTATTTGTTGGATTTAAAATTAATATCGAAAAAAGGAAAGGGGTTACTTTATCATCTTTCATTCTTACAGGATGCCGTTTTGTCAGTAATTTCAAAAGATCCCTCTGCTATTCATGTAAGTACTAAGAAAACAGTAGATGTTGCAGTAGATGTTGACTAGAGCAGATGTCGTATGACTGTGAAAGATTATAGACCACGTGCCATTTCCCTACAGACCACGTGCCATTTTCCCTACAGACCACGTGCCATTTTCCCTACAGACCACGTGCCATTTTCCCTACAGACCACGTGCCATTTT